AAACGCAGTGGCCGTCGCGTGGGCGCCATCCGCCCACTGCTGAATGAGGCGAAGTGCAGCTTCGGCATCGAGGCGGACGCGAGCATCCCCCCCGCCGCGATCTGGGTGAGCATCGCGATCACCGAGGACTCCTTGCAGCAAAGCCCCATCCTCTGCGCGGAAGGCGTCGTGCACCAGGGACGGGTCGACAGCGGCCGCTCGTGCCGCGTGGCCACCAATGTCACCATGCCCGCCTTCGCGGCCGCGTTGGGCTGCAGCCGCTTTCTCCACCGCTTCCATTTCGTTGAACAAGCCATGACCGGATAAGTCAACGTCCTCACCCTCGCCGCCCCCGTGGTCGGGCTCGGCGGCCCTGGCGACGAGCGACCGCCCAGCTCTCTCGGCGACGAACTTCGCGAACGCCCCCTCGACTGCGCCGCCCCCTCCGCCATGCTCATCTGCGTCGTCGGCAGCGGCGGGCCCGTCGCGCCGCAGCTCCCCCCAGAGCGAATCCAGGATCTCAGCGCCTTCATCGTCCTCATCGCCCTCCTCGTCGGACTCGTCGGGGTCGGGCTCGTCGGGGCCGCCGTCGTCGCCACCTGGGCCGCGGCCGCCGCGGCGACGTCCGCCGCCCCTGCACCTGCGCGCAGTTCCCATGCATATAGATCCGATGGTCTCCTTGCACGCAGCCGACTGCAAGGACTCGAGCTCCCGCGACAGCTCGCTGAGGCTCAGTGCCCCTCTACGCGCTGCCGAGGGGCTCCTCGCCAGCATCTGGTCGTGCACGAACTCGCACGCCTCTCGCAGAGACGAGAACGTAAGTGGAAGCCCCACCTGGTAGATCGTGCCCGTCGCGTTGACCTCCCCGCTGGTGAGCCAGAACCCGCGATTGAAGCGATGCGAGATGATCCAAGCGCCGACGACTACATTCCCAAATCTCATTACCAGCGCATGCTTGCTTGAGGCCATCGTTCCAGGATACAGGAGGATGAACTTGGCAGCGATCCTCGCCGCGCACCTGGGGACAGGGGGTGCACGTGCACGGCGGACAAGTTGGCCTCCGCCGCCGTCTGCCCCCCCTCTGCTGCTGCGTGAGCTGCATCAGGAGGCGGAAGTGGGATCGGCGGCGGCGGAGGGGGCTCGCGCGGCGCAGCAGCCGCTGGTGGCGCAGCAGCTGGCGACGGCAGAGGCGGCACAGGCGGAGCAGGCTCAGGTGCGGGCAGCGGCTGCAGCGGCCCATGCTCGACGTCGAGGCTGGGGAACCTGCGGCCGTCCTGCAGGGCCTCCATGGCGGCCCCGTGGACCTGCGCGCAGCTGTCGACGGCGTCGTCCAGCGCCCTCGGGTTCTTCCCCAGGCCCATCCAGTTCACCTGTGATGTCGCGCACAACTGTTCCACGAACAACTCCCCATCTCCTTGTCCTCCTCCCGCACCCCCCCCCCCCCCCCCCCCCCCCCCCCCCCCCCGCAATCAGCATCATCATCATCACCGGGGGGGGGGGGCCGCCAACCACCATCATCATCATCATCATCACCATCATCATCATCATCATCGTCATCCACTTCCTCATTTCCTCATCTTCCTCCTCCCCCTCCGACTCCTGCGACTCCTCCCCGCCCCCCCCCCTCCACCGCCACCTCCCCGTTGTCCTCCAAGTCGTCCAAGTCGCCCCCCCTGCCCCCCTGCCCTCATTCGCATTCTCACGGCTCGGCCCCATCAGCATCCCCCTCCCCCCCCCTCATTGTCATCCTCCTCTTCCCTTTATCCTCCTTCTCTTCCTCCTCCTTCTCCTCCTCCTCTCCTCCTCCATCCGCATCCCCCTTCTCCCCCCTCCCCTCGCGCCCGCCCACCTCACCCCCGATCCACCGTCTTTCGCAGCAAAGCCCTGCTCGACAGCAGCTCGAGGCCCATCCCTGGCGCCATCTCGAGGCACCGCTTGATGATGCTGTTCAAGCCCTCCACCTCCTGCGTGTCTGCGGCCATCATTCTCGTGATCGTTCGAGCGAGTACCCAGAGTTGGCGGTCAATGCGGCCCGTCCGCTGCGTCTCCTGGGGGCTCGCGGGCTCGCGCTGGGCAGCCATCCCTCTTCCCTCTCCCTGACTCCTGAACTCCTGAGCCTCCTCCGAGCTCCGGGCCCCCCGGCCTCCCCCCTTGCCCCCACCCCCCTCGTCCGTCCGACCGCCCTGCCCCGCTCCGTTTCCCCCCTCATCGCCTCATCGCCCTTGGAAGCACACGCGCCCATTCAACCGCCCCACCACCCCCTGTCCCCTGCATGTCCCTTCCTTACCTTCCTACCTTCCTTCCTTGCATCCACATCCTCCCCCGCTCAACCTATCGGTCCTCCAGCTCTGACCCGAAACATGTAGCGATCTTCCAGGGCGTGGCCGTCGCAGTATTCTCCAACACTCGGCGAGGGTCAGGGTCTCGGGTCAATTCCAACCATTCGCTGGCCAGCTGGGCTCTGCGGTCACAGGGCACGTGCGGGGCCTCATTGCACAACCAAATGCACGTGTACGGGAACGCTGCTAGCACCCGACCGAAACGACGATGATAATCTGCGGCAGCGTCCAAGACGAACTCGACACAAGAGCGCCGAACAGTAGGCATGCACATGTCTGTGGATACATGTTCCCACACTGTGGACCAGCTAGTGTCGTATGCGGCAGGGCTGAGCAGGGCGTCGAACTCAGCTGAAATCTTAATGTGCTTATCGACTACGAGCTCCCCGAGAGTCGAGCGACATTCATCCTCAAACAAGCTGGCACGCCGATCCCCGATACCCGCCGACATCTTCTCAAACCAATACAAGAGATGCTGGATCGGGCCCCCGCTCACGTGAAACATCGCAATGTCAACCCAGAACTGCGAACAATGAACTGCAGCGAGGGCGTCCGCTTGCCATCTATAGGGGGTGGCACGTGCGCGCGCGCAAACGCCCGATCCCGCCCCCCCCCCCCGCTCGCCAGGCCCACTCCCAGACTCCCAGACCTACGTGGACATCCTGCCGCGCCCCCTGGAAGGCGACGGGGGGGATGGGGACGAGGGGGATGAGGAGGGCAAAGAAATCAGTCGGGGCAGGGCGAGGGGCGAGTGGGCGAGCGGAGGGCGAGGATGTCCGAGGGCCAGAAGCGCGACGAGGATGTCCCTGGGGAGGACGCGGAGGAGGCGGAGGAGGAAAGCCCCCCCCCCCCCCCCCCCCCCCCCCCGCGTAAAATCATCATCCCCGGTTCCCTCCTCTCTCCTTCTCCTCCTCCTCCTCCTCCTCCACCTCCCCTCCTCCCCCCCCTCCTCCTCCTCGTCCCCCCTCCTCCTCCTTCTCCTCCTCCTCCTCCCTCCTCCTCCTCCTCCGCCTCCTCCCCCTCCTCCTCCTCCTCCTCCTCCTCACTCCTCCTGCCTCCTCCTCCTCCCTCCTCCTCCTCCTCCTCTCCTCTCCCCCTCCCCTCCTCTCCCCCCCTCCCCTCGCCCCCCCCCCCCCCCCCTCCCCCTTCCCCCTCCTCATTGCGCCCTCCCCCCCCCCCCAGGCGGCGGCGGCGACGGGGGCGGCGGGCGCGAGCGTTTGCGTGCGAACGGGCCAATGACCTGTTCATCCTGGTACGGAAGTTCTCCGCCTGCATGTCCGCGCTGAGGCCCTCGTCGCCGTCGTTGGCGGCGGCGGCCTGCTGGGTCGGGTCGAACACGGCGGAGAAGACTGCGGTCATCTCACGGCGCGTCGCTTTCAGGAAGTGCTGGCCCGTCCTGTAGATTGACCCGAACCTGCCAGTCAGCGGCTTGGGCGGGAGCCTGCCAGCGGCGAACGTCGCCCGCTCCGACCCGAATCGCCGCTTCCACTCCTGGAACACCTTCACGGACTTATGTGGAGCTCGCCAGCTGTTGGCGCACTTGGCCATCCTGCTGTAGTACTGGTCGCAACGCTTCAGCTGGGACTTGGCCATCAGGTGGAGCCGGTGCACCCGGCAGAAAGACCAGAACACCCACACGAAAGGACACGGCTCCAGGTCCTTGAATATCCGCCCGCGGCACCCGACGATTTCGGGGCCCTTGTCAGAGCCGCCCATGAAGACGGTGATGTGCTTCCAACGCGGGGGGTCGGCTGGACTGGCTCTCTGGCGCCTGAGCATGGCGATCAACTGGTCGGGGGGCTCGGGGGCCGCGAATGCACCCCGCGCATGCGCGCCCAATTGCGACAGCTTGTCCTCGAGCAGCCGCTTCTGCATGGCGCCGTCGACGTCAAGCGGCACCCAGGCCAAGTCTGGGTAATGCGCGGCGCCCCAGCGCTTGAAGGACACGGCGGAGGGACCTCCTCCTGTGCACTCATCGTCCACCAGTTGCACGTGGGAGAAGCACGACCAGATCTCCGACGCGAAGATCTTATATGACATGAAAGCCGTAGAGTTTGACGCGTCGCCGCGGAGGGCGTGCACGTCGAAGAGCACGGCAGGGGCGCCGAGGATCTCCTGGCCGAGGGCGCCGAGCTGCATGATGGCCGATTCGAGGCGTCGGTGGCTGCTCTGATACCACTCGCGACCAGATGCGAAGATGGCAGCCCTGGTCAAGTTCTCAGCCTTGATCACGGTGTTCGGCGCCACGGGCGCCTCCTGCTGCATCGGGGGCACCAGGGCAACAAAGACCACAAGGGGGGGGGGGGATGAGGGGACCGTTGAAGGGGGTGGCGGGGGTGGTGGGAGGGGGGGCAGGATAGCAGGATAGCAGGATAGACAGGATAGGGGCACGGCGAGGGGGGGAAGAGGAGGAGGGGGGGGGGGAGGAGGAGGAGCAGGAGGAGCAGGAGGAGGATGAGAAGGAGGAGGAGAGGAGGAGGAGGAGGAGGAGGAGGAGGAGAAGGAGGAGGAGGGGGGGAGGAGGAGGAGGACGGAAGAGAGAGAGGGTGCAAGCCTGGCTTACATACATACATACATACATACATACATGCATACAAACATACATGCATACAAACATACATACATACATACATTATGTCGGCCCGTCCGATCCAGCATCTGCAACGTCGTGCGGCAGCTGGCGTACCCGTAATTCCTCTTGAACCCGAGGCGGTGCCAGCCCTCGCGGGACAGCCATTGTCGGAGTGGCGCCGCGGGCTCAGCAGCTCGCCGCCGCTGCTTCGGCGTCTCCTTCAAGAACGTGAAGCCTCTCAGTCGCGCCTGCAGCGCTGTGATCTGCATCGCCTGCTTCCGAGTCTTGACGACCAGCTTCTGGCGCCTGCGCTCGGCAAGCTTCCTGGCAGCCGCCCCGTGGCGCGCGCTGGTGGCTAGCTCCGCAGTCAGTTCAACCACCGCCTGGGCCAGCTGCTCGCGGTCCATGGTCGCAATGGCTGCCAGCACCGACCGATCGCCGTCGGGCGCCAGTGCGATCTGCCGGCCGCGGCCGCCAGCGCCGCGCCCTCCTCTCGGGCGCCAACAGGCAAAGGGGCAGGGGTCGCGCGCGGCTGGGCGGGGGCGGGGGCGGGGCGCGAGCGAGCGCCACAACGGCCCCAGACAGGCGACCCCCCTCCCCCCCTCCCCCCGCTAAGTGTGCGCGTGCGTGTGTGTGAGTGCGCGGGTGTGTGAGTGCGCGTGTGCGTGAGAGAGAGAGAGAGTGTGTGTGTGTGAGTGCGTGAGTGTGTGAGTGTGTGATTGTGTGAGTGTGTTGAGTGTGTGAGTGTGTGAGTGTGTGAATGTGTGAGTGTGTGAGTGTGTGAGTGTGTGAGCGTGTGAGTGCGTGAGTGCGTGAGTGCGCGTGCGCGTGTGTGCGTGTGTGTGTGCGTGCGCACGTCTGTCTGCCAAAGTTCGGTGGCGGCGTCATTCCACCTGCCCCATCGGGACCTTCGGTGGAGCCCCCCATGCGGCCAGCGGGGGTCAATGCGGGTTCAAGCCGAGAACCCAACGCCACAGGATGGTAGTAAGTTCAGTGCAGCATCAGACCCCGCGGCTGCCTCCCCCCCCCCGCACCCCCGCCCTGCGGCGCGATTCCCCATCCAGTCCTCGCTCCGACGGCGGCGGCGACGCCATGGGCGTCGCAGGAGACGGCGAAAAAAATGACGCCGACCGCGAGGCAGCCTGCGTCGAGCCCTGCGTCGTCGACGAGCTGGGGGTCATCGGCGCCAGCGGCGCCAGCTGCAGCGCCGCGGGCGGCCCTGCCGCGGCGCGCGCGGGGGCGGGGAGATCGGGGAGGGGGGGAAGGGGAGATCGCGCGGCGAGGAAGCGAGGAAGCGGTAGGCGGGAGAGGGGGCACGGGATGACATTGGGATGCGGGGGAGAGGAAGCACCCTTGTCCTCCCTCCTCGTCCTCCTACCCTCCCCCCCTCCCCCCCCCCCCCCCCCTTCCCTCTCCTCCTCCTCCTCCTCCTCCTCCTCCTCCTCCTCCTCATCATCATCATCATCATCATCCTCCTCATTGTCCCACTCCTCCTCGTCCGCCTCCCCCCCTCCTCCTCCTTCTCCTCCCCCATCCATCCCCTCCTCATCCGCATCCACCTCCGCCGCGTCTTCAGATGCCTCCGACGTCGCATCGCGCGCCCCGCCACCCTCGACGGCCGAGGTATCCAGGGTCGGCGGCGCGGCCACATGGCCTCAGCAGCATGAGCACGGGGAACGAGAGAGAGAGAGAGAGAGAGAGAGAGAGAGAGAGAGAGAGAGAGAGAGAGAGAGAGAGAGAGAGAGAGAGAGAGAGAGAGAGAGAGAGAGAAAAGAGAGAGAGAGAGAGAGAGAGAGAGAGAGAAAGAGAGAGAGACAGAGAGAGAGAGAGAGAGAGAGAGAGAGAGAGAGATGCACCCAGATTGTGACGCAGTGTCCACATATATTTATGGGGGGGGGCGACAATGGGCAACGGTGGTGAGCGTTGCGTCGCTGTGTTACCATCGATCACATCATCGATCTCACTATCTATCTACATACATATCGATCTCACAAGCGATGTCTTTATAGGTCTCACGATCGATGTGACCATCGGTCCCACTTTCTACCTCACTCGATCGATCTCACTATCGACTCTCTCTCTCTCTCTCTCTCTCTCTCTCTCTCTCTCTCTCTCTCTATCTCTCTCCCTCTCTCGGCAGTCTCGGCTCGAGAGTGCCCTGCACTCAGACCGCAGCCGCGACGCGAAGCGCCCCGCCTCGGAGTCAGTCTCCCAGGCCTCGCGAGACCGGAGGGGTCCCAGCAGGACCCTACTGATTCGCGTCACCTCTTTCCCCCCCCCACCAGAGCGCCCGCCGCAATGGCCCCCGCCAAGCCGGAGCGCCGTCGCTCTTCCAAGCAGCCGCCGAGCTCACGTCCTGCAGCTGAAGGGTCTCTCCTCCAACGCAAACAGGACTGCATTGCAGCTTTCAAGCAAGCGGGGTCTGACCGCCCCACGGCCGCATACAACGGGCTCGCCGAGCGGAACGCGGACGAGCTGCAGGCCACGTACGACATGCACAAGACCAACACAAAGAAGCTCGGCAGTGCCTTGATCCGCATGTGTGCCGCCAACCACATCAGCTACACGCTGGATCACTACCAGCGCAGCAAGCCTAAGCGCAGTGGTGGTGACACACCCTACCCACCAGCTGCGTCCGCACGTCTTCAGGCTGCGGACGCCCAATTCATTGCCTTGGACCCGGCCTTCTGGAAGGTCCCAGTCCTGGCCGAACCCACATCGCTCGACGACGGCAAGACGTACAAGCCCAGCATCAGCCTCCACGACTACGAGAGCGGTGAACGGCTGCTGCAGCACCATCTCGAGCAGGGTAAGCGTACCACGGGTCAGCTTGCGATTGCTGTCATGGGCCCAAAAAACGATAACTACGTCGGTACCGAGCTCGCCGTCCCCGTGCTGAAGCGCCACCCCAAGGCGCCCAAAGTGGTCCACACGCACGTCCCCGTGACCGTGTACCAGCTGGGCACCAAGGAAGTCGCCTGCACGGAAAAAGTTGCCGTCGCCACCATCGATCCTGCCGACCACGTATGCTGGATTCGGGTGACCATACATGAAACCGAAGCCATCGCCGCAGTCCCCTCCATGCATCAGGCCTTCGAGGATCAGTTCTCGGGAGGTGCCCCCGTGAACGGTGGTCCACGCGCCAAGGGTCCTTTCCGAAAGGACACCGCTCCACAGGACAAGGCGCGCCAAAACCAAAAGCACAGGGAGTCCAAGAAAGACGCTCGCCGCCAGGAGCTCGATAGTCAGCTCCAGGACACCTTCAAGGCCCTCTTCCACGGCAACTTTAAAGCCGTCACCATCCTCGAACCCTGCAAAAGCCTAGGCAGGTTTGGATCGGGCGTCGGAAAGAGGTCCCTGGCTGCCACCTTCGGCGTCAGTCTTCAAGCGGTTGACAAGGTCTTGGCGGGTTCAGGGCAACTCGGCGCCACCTACGACCTCAGCAACGTAGGTGCAGACGAGCCCACTGCAGACAAGTACCAGACCGTGTGGTTCCCTGAGGACCAGCCCATCACGATGGCAGATGCGTTCCAGAAGTCGGTGGACTTCAAGGCCCTAGGAGTCGTCAGGCACGGCAAGTCAGGCTTATTGGGGATCCGTGTTGCACGAGGGTCAGACGCCGCCAAGGCTGCTGCCGTCAGCATCCGTGGCTGTGAAGCCACCCTCGCCAAGACGCGATACCGCATTACTGGCATTGCGGCACGCCACGCCACGCTGACCCAGCTTGCTAAGACTCTCACGGGCCCGTCCGTCAAATGGGACTGTGAGGTCTACCACACCGCCTGGGACCCAGCCACTTCGGCTCAGTTTGCCTTAGTGCGCGCCCATCGTCCCCCACCCACATATACGGTACAGGTCGCAGGGTGCCCCATCCCGTGGAGCATCACCGAGGCCCCGTTGGCTGAGGTGGTGCCGAAGAGGGACAACGTTACCATTGTTACCCCTACCACTATCACAGAGCCTGTGACGCCGCCAGCCCGTGGTGGCGGCTTCAGCCCCGCCACGGGCACACTCCTAACCAAAGCGGCCCAGAGCCCTTACCTCCACGACCTCATGACTGCCACGCCCAAAGGCAAGGGCGTCGCACCGCTCCCGATCCCCAAGGAGGAGCCTCTAGCCAAGCGCCACCGATCCTCCAGCGGGAAACGCGACGCCACGCCGCACGCAAGATCACACGGCGCCCCAGGCCGCAGCTCCTCTGCACCCCCGCACGGCACGGATGGAGCTGCCGAGCAGACGGCCGTCCAAGGACCAGGTGGGCATGACCCGCAACATGGCACGGTGGCGGCTGAAGGCGGGGGCCACACGGAAGGGGGCGTTGCCACAGCCGCCGAGGTACCAGGCGACGATGACGACGTCGAGATCCTCTCATCAGGGGATGAATTCAGCGTGGCATCTCGCGAACTGAACACCCTCGGCGAACGCTTCGCTACGGCCCCTAAACTGTCAGATGCCGCCACGACCCGCATCCAACACATGGAACAACAGCACGAACTGCTTGCCAACACGGTGGATAACATGCAGGTCCAGCTTGCGGGCGTTCTCTCATCCCAGGCCACACTCACGGAGCACGTTTCAGGTTTGGAACGAGGGCTTGCCACCGTCGTCACTCAGCAACAGACGGCAACTACCGAAGCTGCTGCACTGCATGGCGACATCCAGGCCCTCCTCGGGCACCTCACGGGGGGCACCATCCACCTGCCACAGGTGGCCACCCTCGAAACCAAAAAGGAGGAAGCTGCATCAGTTGCCGATCCCGTGGCTGTCTGCGGGTGGATTGACCAGCCAGGCCAGGTCACCCCAGGGACGGGGCCCCCAGGGGCTGACAAAGGCAAAGACAAGGGTCGGGCCACTCAGGAACCCTATTGAAGGTGCCTCAGAGAGCCTGCCTCAGCCCTCCGAGGAAGCGCCTTCAGAGGCATCTCTTCTCACTTCGCGTCGTATCTCTTTCTTGTTATATCATGTCAGTTTTGGCAGCAGCACGAGCAAGCTATCTGGTGTAGGGACACCTGTCATCTTGCTGTGGGTGTGTTTGTTGCAATGTACATGAGCATGCAGGGGTATCTAAGGATGCGTGCTGACATGCAGCTTTTGGCTCATCGCTCGCGCCGCCCGCCAGGCCTCGCCATCATGTGGCGCCTTGCCTGCAGCCTGGCCCTCCCCTCGCTTGCTGGAGCACGCCCGTCTTCAGGCGGTGCGCCCCAGCATGGAGGTGAGGTTCTCCTGCGACACGCTGAACGTGGGACCCTTTTCTACCTCTACGATGACAGCATCTACAAGTACGATCACTGCACCATTTTGGACCCGATCGTGAACGGCACCGTTGCCGCGGGTCCGTGCGGCATAGGCCAGGCACACAGTGGCGGCTTCAGCCCCGCTGTTGTGCCCCGCTATCGCCCTACGGGTCTCACCACTCCCCTGTGCGATAGGGGCGAACCTGAGGAGGACCCTGCTTTCT